ACGCAGCCAGAGGACTGTACTTTAAACAGGAGGGTCAGTAATGACTCCATGGCCAAGATCATGTGACAGCGCAAACAGGAACGCCTCCCTGTGGATGCTGCAATGAATAATGCACCATGTCAACAAACTGAAGCGCTGTGCCTCAGTGTTGCCACATTAAGGGTTCGCCCAAATCATAAACTATCTCTCCCATTAGTTACCAATTCATTATTTCTTGAAAGACGTGTCTCAGAAATGTCATGCTTTGCTACTTTGAGAATCACAATGCTACATTTGCACGCTGCCTATGTTAAATGCACGTGTGACAAAACATCTGTTTGCTTTGCGCTTTGCACTTTGACTATCTCGACAAACAGATTGTGCGTATGTCTGTGTACATGGCGGCTTGTGCGTTTGGATCTGTTCACATCCAAAAGAATGTACTGGTTTTGTGGGTCTGTGTGTGCACACTTGGACAAATTGCCATGTCCCCCTGCGAGGCTGCCTTTGTAAGTGTGTGAATGTTGTTGTGTGTCTTCACTGCACTGGAATTATCCTGCTCCTTCATTAACACTAGGGTTAAATCAGCAGCTGACAGCAGCTGTGTTTGGGGCCGAAAGGACATGAGCACTCATCTGAAGTAGATTAGGGAGGAGAGCGTGTGTGTGTGTGTGTGTGTGTGTGTTTGTGCACGCGCACGTGTATGCGCGCATACACATGCCTGTTTGTGTGCACAAAGCCTACACTTCCACCAACCTACCCTTGCTCTATACCCTTCTCCTTGTAGCTTTACTGTGTCCCGATCAATACTCAATCCGTGGAGGATCTGGACTTTATGGAGCTGTTACAGTCCCCCTGTGCGTGCATTATGAATGAGCCCCATCAGGCTGTTGGCTAAAAGATAGCGTAACAAAGCTCAGCAATAACAAAGGGAAAGATGAAGCGTGTACAGCCGCAGTAGTCCATTCTTCTGTTATAACAAAATTTCGATTACATTATCGATCAGCCTGCAGCGGGACGGACGAAATCATAATTCCAAAACAGATCAGGGATGGTTGATTGGAAGATTATCGCACCCTGGAACAACACTGCTGCGCCTCGGAGAGTTTGTAAAGACTTCACACTGTCAAGAAAATGAAGCCGGAGGGCAAGTTAGTCATGAGTTAAACAAACTGAGGTTTTCAGAGCACGAGACAAACTGTTGTTTGTCGGATAGAAACCTGAACGAAACTCTGGGCTTAATTCCTCTTTCCATGTCTACTTGTTATTTCTCAAAGATATAGACATAGTGCCTTGGAACTTTGGCAAGTTTGAGCAATTTACATCTAAGAACTGCACAGTCACTATCCCTGTACTATTAAAGAAAAAAGTTCTTCATTGCAAATGAGTAGCATTAAAGCATCTCTTTCTTCTTCTTTCTCTTTTCATGTAATATTCAGTTTGTTCTCTTGCCCAAGAGTGGTCTTAAGCGTGCCGGAATTGGAATCCAAGGTATCGGGCTTCAGAAGAAAACATGGTAAAAACGTCAGTGTTTCAGAGAGATCAGTAATGATGGTTAAAGTTCAAATATGTTAGAGCTACAGGGCGGCTGCAGCATTTCAGTCTTAAAAAAAAAGAAAGAAATTCAAAATCATCCCCCATTTTTCATCTGGCGCTTATCATCATCTCAGAACGTGCGTTGCATTTACTTGGGTAAGTACAAATGTTGCTGCTGCTGCTGATTGATAATTACCAGAGAGCAAAAAAACAAACAAAAAAATCTCTCAGATCTCTCAGAACTGAGTGGGGGGCAGAAACGACCCCCCCAAGCCATGGGTCATATTAGCATATTTAGCATATGCAAACACTTTATTGCTTTTTACTGTTTGATTTATTGCCTAAACCTTCTTCTGTGTAGTACGGAGGACCAAAGCTGCCAACATCCAGAATAAATAAAATGCCATGCATTCTTCATGCTCACTTCTGTCCCGCCAATACGTGAAGACTTGACCCTGTGGCGTCCTTCGAATTACACTCTCCCTCGTTTGCGTAGTGAAGCAGAAAGGCACAAAGACATAAATAACTCTGAGGAAATAAATTGGCAAAGAAATAAAAGCATGGCTAAGTAAACAGAAATGAATACAGAAGCAAATTAAAAGAGGAAATGTCGGTCTGTGTCACATATTATTAATTTTTAATGCCGATTTGCTGTTTTTAAATGCATACTGGTTTATTTATTGAGTATTTTCTTCTTGTTTTTGGCAGGATGGGAGACAAAAATCCTGATTTTGACATGTTGCAGTAAAATAAAAAAAAGAGCACAGGATTAATTAACGATGGCCCAGTTCCATTAAGTGTGCCAGTAAGCCATGACAGTGAACCAGTGTACACAAAAGCATTCGTTTAAGTCACCAAACAGTTTCTAGAAAATACTTCTTACTTATAAGCTTTTGCTTTGATTTATTTATTTTAATATTGGAAGTACTGGGGACTGTGTGTTTGACAGATAAGCATTTGGATTTTATTTTTATGTATTTTTCATAAATGTTACTTATATCTTTGCTTGCATTGCAATTTTTTAGCATTCCCCCGTAAAGGTGGGCGCAGTAATAGAAATTCAGTTTGAAACTACTCACAGTTATTACATATTAATTATTTCTTTGCCAGTTACATATTTATATAAGTCTATTTATTGACATAAAAGCTAATCAAAACTGCTGTTAGGAAGCGGTTAGTACCTATTAGCTATTGACGTTTGTGTCTAAGTGGCAGGTGGGTTACACAGTGGCCTTAACACTTTGCATATGACTAGATAGCATTTGCAATTTATAGCCACCAGCCTGTGTTGTTAATGTTTTTTTTTTAAATAATTTTTTTTAAACAAATACATAACCTTTGCTTTTGATTAGATTGAAAATGTAAGA